TTATTGTCTCACCTTCAGAAATTTGAGGCATCTCATAATTTGTATTCCTACCCACATCCTTCCTTCACACTGATATTTTTCAAAAATTGTTATTCTGCTGGAAGGGACCTATAGAATATTTTACTAATTCCATTTCACCAATGAAGAAACACCTGTCCAGAGAGTGGCAGACCTATGTCAAGGATGACAAGCCTTTATCTCTCATATTTCTGACATGCTTGGTTAAGTGGAGGGTGAGAGAAAATCTGGAAGACCCCCAATGAGATGGATTGGCAGCAACAATGGGCTCAAACAGAACAATTATGAGGATGTTGCAAGACCAGGCAGTGTTTCATTCAATTGTGCATTGGGTCACTGTAAGTTGGAGCCAAGTGGATGGCACCTAACACCCCCATCCTTCCTCCAGTCTTCTATTTTTCAAAAAAGTGTTATTCTGTTGGAAGAGACCTATAGAACATTTTACTAATTCCATCTCATCCATGTAGAAACATAGGTATCTGATCACCTCAAAATCCTTACTTTCTGTGCCAACCTGACACCCTCTGACCAGAAGACTTGCAGGTAGAGTCTGGTGAGAAAGGGTAGGAGTCTGGGGGTCACAAGAAGTTTTTTTAAAAATGCCATCAAATTGAGAAGAGAATGAATTCATAATATGGACTCAAGGAAAAAAGGTTTGTTAGAGAACATAACTTTGAGACTTTTACCCATAACCAAAAAAATTAGAATGCACAAGTTGTATTTGAAATATGAGTTAAATCCAAAAGTATTTTAAACATTTGATTCCTGGTCATTAAAGCTGGCAATCAGCATTAGAAAGTCAAATGGTTTTGTTAGAAAATGGAGATTTCTTGGCACATAACTTGCTATATTGGGTACATTAACCTTTGTTATAGGCTTAGCTCTGTCTACTCTTACCTAATATGATCTGATGAAGATTTTTAGAGATCTTTATAGAAATGAAATTTATTCTAAAAACATGGGACTATAATTTCCAAAATTTAGAAATATAACTTGAACAGCAAGCATAAAGTCCCAAATTAAGCGGTTTGTTACTATTCCTTGTTTATGGTTCACTTTATTATTTGGGGGATATTCCGGTGTGTTATATTAAGTTTTGACGGCACATGTAGTCTTTAACTTGATCTTTTAAAGACACCAGAATTTGAGCGAATGCCAATAAAACCATGGAAATATAAATATTCTATCTTCCAGCATATTTGATTAGAATGGTCAATAAATAAAATTGTATTTCCTAGGACTATAGGCATGAATACTAATTTATGAATTTTAATTTAATGTTCTGTCAGAGGCCCCTAGGAGAATATGAACAATTTGGGCATCTGTTGAGTTATTCTTAGAGTAAAAACGGACAAATGCACGTTACAGGAAATGAAATAAAATCTGTAATATATTTGTATTAAAATGCTATTTATTTATATGTATATTATGCTTTTTTGCACAGATTATCTGAACTAAATGTTACACATAGAATTGTTTGATTCTTCCCTTATCCCTAGTCTTCACTTTGACAAAAATTGCTAGTATTTCTGATGGTACAATTAACTCTTGCCACAGACTACCTATGTCTCTACTCCTATTCTCCAAACAACCAAAAACTATTCAACTAAATGCAGTAGCAGTTTCACACAAAACTATACAACTGCTGTCGTTTCTCAGGGAGGAAGACAATAATGAAGGCGAAACTACAAGCAATAGCAAAAATTCTTGCAGCTAGAAGAGCTCTTTATATCCCATGCCCTCTTCGTAAACCTTGAAATAGGATGCTCTAAAAATGTATCCTCATATCCTCTAAACTGATCTCGCTGGTCTGATGACACAAAATCACACAGCTGGAGTGGAATCACATAGCTAGATGGAAAAAGGTGCAAGAATGAGGAGGAGAAAGACATGAGTCTGTGATGCTGATATCAATCTGCCCATGGGAGAAAGGAGATGAAGTCTTCTACACAAGGACTGTCAGAGGAGAATAAAACCACGTGCCTTCAAGTCAATTCCAACTCATGGTGACCCACTGAGTGCCAGTGTAGAACTGTCCTCCATAGAGTTTTCAATGGCTGACTTTTTAGAGGTACATCTCCAGGCACCTTCTTTTTCTTCCAATGTACCTCTGGGTGGAGTCAAACGTCTAACCTTTTGCTTAGCAGTCATGTACACGAACCATTTGAATTACACAGGGACTACCAGAAGAAAAGACATGTCACTGAAAGATCTACGAGGAACCAATCACACATAGAAACAACAGTAGCAGCAACAAACCCAAGTCCTGCCTCACTGAATAACTGTAGGAAATGGATGAAGTAGAAGGTTGTAGCTTAGACACAAGCTTTCCCTCATATAATGAAGCCCTCAGAAATCACCCAGTTTTTTCATTTCAAACAGTAAGATGCATTTATGAAACTATGCAAGCAACATTATACAGCTTTCCAAACAGTAATTGAGTACTAAATAATAGAATAGTTTTGTTCAAAAGCAATATTTATTTTTCATGATAAGAGGCATATAACATTTGCTATAGAAAATGCTATGGGAGAAAAAAGCAGCATGTCACCAATATGACAAAAACTTATGAAAATGTTTTACCCTATGAACACATACTGAAAGAAAGGCATTATCTCAGGTGAGTGAACCATGCAGAAATGTGGATTTATTAGGGTTTGTTTTGAAATGTAATTTGTATGGCGAGTTTTTTAGTCCTTTGGTAGCAATGAAACAGATTTATTGGCTACATGTTGGAAGTGCAATGTAGAACAGATAACCAAGGGAGAAGTTTTAACAAAACATTCAAGAAAGAGTAAGGAAACTGAGGGAATATGCATGAGTACATCTTAGATAATAAATAAAAGTATAGGTAGGACTGAAAGCCATCTTTGTTATCGCAGCCTGGAAGGCTTACTGAAAATTGGGTCAAACACTCTAATTTTTCATAGTTAGAGTTATGATGTGAACTGTACAAGCTAAAATGATGTAAGTCATGTTTTGATTGTGGTACAGGAAATCGATGCTTTCATGGGACACTTGTAAGTGGCTGTGAAGGTGAAGAGTGGTTTCTGAGGATTAGAATGTCTACCTGGGCTAGTTCTCATTTTACAGTTTCTGACTAGCTCTGAGATTTTGGAGAGTATTTGGTTTTATCATTCACTACCTGAGGTGAAAACAATGGGTACTTATGGGGAAATTTTTGAAGGCACATCTTCAAGAAACATTGGCCTTTCCTCTCAAAGAACTGAGAAGAAATAGGTTACCAAGAATAAATGAGAACTGAATCTAGAGTGCACCAGGTTTAGAAATCCAACTATACTTAGTCACTCCATCTGGCAGTGAAACTTAACCAGTTCCTGTTACATACCCCTCACCCAAACTGGTTGTTTTCAATAGGGTCAGAATTCCACAGAAGAAACTGTCTTTTTTTTCCTCTCAAGGGAGGAAGCCAAATATAATTCTCTTTTAGGAGTCCCAGGCAATCATGATTTCAGTGTTGATCTTTAAGGACCTTGCTTTGGAGAATGTTGAATCATTTCCTATGCCTAGATTTAGTCTTTTTTTAAAAAAATAGACATTTCTGAGCCATGGAGGAAAAATTTCCTTAAGTACCGATAATAACCTCCACTAAAACAGTTTTCTCATGGTAGAGCAAGGCTGAAGCTGTGTTCCCTCAATTTACACTGTGACTTCTAGAACAAGATCCACAAAGAACCAGGGACTCCAGATCTGATATAGTTTGGTTTAGAAAAAGGAATTCAGAATGGCAAATGAATATATGATTAGGAATTTATATCACTAAAATTTAGTTGTTTTATTACTCTACAAAGACTTTTAAGCTATAAATAACCCCTGGTAGCATGTCAAGCATAAAATGTCATTGTATAGCCATGTTCATATATTGAAGAGGCAGGAACACAAAAGCAAGCTACCACAAAGGAATTAGCACAATTTGGAGACTATGAACACATGATTAAATATGGGACCTATGAAATATTCCATCTGATTTCCAGTTACGCTACTGTTTCATTGCTTACTTTTTCGACTTTCAATTACCCAAATCTTCCAATAAGCACTATTTGGGAAGGCTCATGCAGAATCTCCATGATATTCTTGAAAGACTTTGTTTATGTAGAGGCATTTTGTAAAACAAAAACAATAGAAAACTCTGGTACAGCTAATAAATTGCCCCTTGTAGGATTATAATACAACTTCCAAGCAAGTTTTCTTTCTTTTTTTTTTTTTGAGACATATGTTAAATAAATTAGCATGCCTCAGCAAAATGAATACAAGAAGACAATGACTTAATTTCTAAAGCACCTATAGTATCATATGATTTGGAGACAAGTAATTATTGGATACATGTGTAGTGCATCTCATGGGGAAAATGGTTTGGTATTTGACTTTTTTCTAGATTTTTCCTCTTTTGTGATCAGTTAAGATGTACACATAAGAGCCCATTTTTTGTTTGTAATGTGCACAGAACTTTCTTTAAAAGAGCAAGAACCAAAGTTGCATAGTCACTCAAAATTAAAATATAAACAAATGAAATTCATGTTCAGAATTTTTAAAGAAATATTTCTCACACATTCTTTATTTTGTCAAAGTATTTTATTAAGGATCTATGGAATCATATAAAGGCTCTGGTTTACCTAGTTATATATACTGGATAAACCATTTGATTTCTCTATTTACACATACAAGAGGTCTTTTTATTTCAGTTTCCCACAAACTTTTTGAAAGCCCCCTCATATATATGAATACTTTATATATATATATAATATTATATATATTTATATGAGTATATCCTCAGACAGTATTGGTAAAATACAATCCTATATTCTTGAATATGGAAGTTGATAACTGAAGATACACCCTTTCTACTTTACATGACACTAACAAAGCTAGATCGAAACTCAGCAACCACTTGCTGAGTTGCAGGATAGTAGTAAGTTCGGTTGCTGGTGGGAAAGGATTAATTTCGATATATACTCATTTATTTATCGAGGTGGTCTTGAGCCGCAGACACAATCACACTTCTCATGGTGATCCAACTGGATGTCAATGAGAGCCATGCTCTTAGTTCTGCTATTCTTCTTCAAAGAGGCTGGCTCAAGCTTTAATACCTAGGACAAGAAACATATTTCTTGTTAGAAAGGTCTTAGAATTTAACTCAACCCAATGCCAATCACTTATTCCCTTTAAAACAACTGGTTCTTTGCCCTTTTGAGAATCTGACAAAAGCCATGAGCTCTCTGCCTGTTACCATGCATACATTTTAAAAGCAATGTTGATTTCTTAAAGCCGAGGTGTCCACTGATCCCAAGAGTAATGTCACATGCCTCAAGAATTTTGTTCTCTAATACTCTTGAACCTGATGACTCTTGAAAGTGCCTACTATTTCCTTTATATAAGTTGTCCTGATGACATGATGTTTTTAGGATAATCACTGGAATGCTAACCACAAGTTTCCAAGCTATTCCTTGGAAACCCAGATGGGGTCATTATAAGGGTCATTATAACAACAACAACACTGATAAGTGCAAACAGCTATGTGCTTTGCTGCTAATTGAAGGTTGGTGGTTTGAACCCACCCAGCTGCTCTGCAGGAGAAAGGCCTGATGATCAGCTTTCATAAAGATCACAGCCAAGAAAACTTCATGGGGCAGTTTTTATGTTCTCACATGGTGTAACCATGAGTTGCAATTGACATGGCAGCACATGACAATGCCATTTCCTTTTATGTCTCATGTGAGCTGGATTGGAGCCTGATATTCTTTGCTTGGAATACTTTGGTCCTAGATGAGTTAGATACAGAGAAACCTTGCTTTAGCGTCTGCATAACTTTGCACGTTGCTGTTGTTAGGTGCTGAGGAACTGGTCTGACTCATAGCATTCCTATGTCTAACAGAATGAAACACTGCCCAGTTCTGTGCCTCCTCACACTCTGTCTTGTAAGAAATGCAGCCAGAATGTTCTTTAGAAGTAAGGATGGTGAGGCTTCATCTTACTAATACGGATATGTTATCAGGAGGGACTGTTCACTGGAGAAGGACATCATGCCTGGTTCAGTAGAAAAAAGGAAAAAAAAGAGGAAGACCCTCACCGATATAGACTGAAACACTGGCTGCAACAATGGGTTCAAACACAGGAAGCTTTGCAAGGCAACTCCCCAAATTCTTTACTCTAGATTGGATTCTCAGCAATTTGTTCATCTTCAGCTGTTTAAAAGCTATCATCATGTCAAAATATCTACTAGGAAAAATACCCCTTAAGTTCTCAGCATTTATCTATCATAGTCTATAGACCACTGTACTTGAGCATTTAAACATCCTGATCAATGGGAGTTCCAGTGCAGCCGAGAATGAATCACTGTATTTGTTCAATGTTCAATCAAGCTAGAAAGCCTGGCCTCTGCTTTCACAAAGGTCTACTGTAGAGCATGTAGTCTCATTTGCAGCAGAACTTCAAAAGAATAGCAGTGAACAGAGTACAAAATCAGTGGGGGAAAATGAACACCCTATGACAGATCATGAAACAGAATGACTCAAAAATATTTGATATTATTAAAATGTCAGTTTTATAGCTAATTCTACTATTTTCCAAAAATTCATATTATTAAAATGTCAGTTTTATAGCTAATTCTACTATTTTCCAAAAATTCATATTATTAAAATATCAGTTTTATAGCTAATTCTACTATTTTCCAAAAATTCATATTATTAAAATGTCAGTTTTATAGCTAATTCTACTATTTTCCAAAAATTCAATTCCACTTAGAATCTGAACAACACATTTCAAATGATTTTCTATACATTCTCCCTATCAATTGTATTATAAGCACTTCATGGGCAAGGATAGTTAAGGTAACCACTTAGTGGTATTAACTGGTCTTCCTTGTCGGTGCATAGATATTATCCTATCACAGATAACATTGTACTTCAAGACAGATCTTGATATATTCTTTTTGATGATGAATGTGACACCATTCCTCTGTAATTTGTTATTTTCCTAATAGTAAATCATGCAATTGTTAGATTAAAAATGGCCAATATCAATACATTTCAGCTCACTAATGCCCAGGACATCAATGTTTATGTGTTCCATTTCATTTTTGACAATTCCCAATTTTCCTAGATTCATACTTTGTACATTCCATGTTCTGATTATTAATGGATGTTTACAGCTGTTGCTCTTCATTTTGAGTTGTGCCTCATCATCAGATGAAGGTCTCCAATGCTTTATTCATATCATCATGGTCAACCCTGCTTTGAGGAGGCACCTCTTCTCCAGTGGTATTTTGAGTGCCTTCCATCCTGAGGGGCTCATCTTCCAGCATTATGTCTGACAATATTCTGGTGCTCTTTATCATGTTTCAATATTCAATATTCTGGTGCTGATAGTGGTGCAATGGTATTCATAAGAGTTTCAATGATTAAATATTCAGAAGTAGTCTGTCTCTCCTTCTGATCCTGTTGTTATTTAAAATACTCCTGGCATAACTTCCAGAATCACAGCAACAGGCAAGCCACCATAGTACAACCAACTGACAGATGAATGATGAAGGGTTCAAGTAGACAGAGGTAAATATTGTTAACTGATGGTACATGGGAGGGATTGCAATTATTGGGAAAAAAAAATCAAAGCATGTGTTTTGCTGAATGTAAAACTGATGGTCTGTTCTGTAAACCTTCACTCAATTCACAATAAAAAAAAAAAAAAACATGATGAGAGAGGTATTTTTCTAGTCCTTCCTGTGTTATTAGCTGTTTTCTTCCCTAGTCCCTCTAAGTCTGGAAGCTCAGCTAAAATCTATTCAGCATCTAGTAACATGCAAGTCTCCACTGACAAATGGGTGGTAGCTGTACATGAGATACTTTGTCAAGGAATTAGACTCGTGTCTCCCACATGTTGTTTTTGTTAGGTGCCATGAGTCAGTTCCAACTCATAGTGACCCTATGCACAACAGACCTAAACACTGCCCAGTCTTTCTGGTCCTACAGTATCCACACAATGTTTATGTTTGAGCCCATTGTTGCAGCCATTGTGCCAATCCAACTTACTGGGGGTCTTCCTCCTTTTTTCTGACCCTCCACTTTATTAACCATGATGTCCGGGGATTGTTCCTTCCTAATATGTTCTAAGAACGAAAGATGAAGTGCCACCATTCTCGACTCTAAAGAGCATTCTGGCTATACTTCTTCCAAGACAGATTTGCTTCTTCTTCTGGCACTCCATAGTACTTTCAATATTCATTGCCAACACCACAATTCAACTGCATCATTTCTTCTACAGGCTTCCTTATTCACTGTCCAACTTTCACATGCATATAAGATGCTTGAAAATACTACGGTTTGGGTCAGAGGCACCTTAGTCCCCAAATTGACATATTTGCTTAGAGGGTGAGAACTGAATAATTAATGCTCTTAATCCTTCCTTTACCAATGGGGAAAGAGAGAAATTAGGTTACTTACAGAAGTCAGAATTTGATTATACTTGGCTGGTTCAAGTTCGTCCCAAGAATCTTTTGTTTACATATCTCAGCAGCATGTTGGGGATTTTATATGTGCTGAAGAAATGAATCTGGGTATACATGGTAGGAGATGCTACAAATGCATAGGTGAACAAATAGAAATGACTCCTCTCCTATCATTATTAATGTCCCTCCTTTGTCCTGCTCCAACACAGGGAGCAAAAGATAACAAAGAAGGAATTAAACAGGTCCAGGTTTTACCCTTTCACAATTCTGAAATAAAAATTCAATTATTAAGAGCAGAATTCCAATGGCATTTGTCTTCTCTGGTCCTGCGGAACCACCATCACTGTGAATCCTTCCTTTATAGATAAGGAAAGAGAGAGGTTAAGTTCTTTCCTGCTGCCTCTATGGAGAATAAAAGATACTTGCATCTTCAAGAAAAAAAATAAGTAGCCGATTAAATGGATAAAGGGTGTGCTACATTTTTTTAGTATAAAATAGCTCTGCCTGTAACATACAAAAACCCTGCTGTATCAACTTTGATCGGAGTATCTTATAAGGTATTGGGGGAGGCTGGACCCTACATCTTTGTCATGATGTTCTCAAGTATGAATTACTAGTTATTGTCTCAGAGAATCAGCATATTAGTCAGCCTGGGGGGTTGGGAGTGCAGGGAAAGGAAATGACTTCTAAGAAGCCGAGCACATGATAAATATTTTCTGAAGAAGACCATTATCAAAGCCTAATAATTTGCCATGACTGGCACCTGTACAATCAGCACTCTGTTGATTTGCTTTCTCATTTGATGGCAAACAAAACTGTGTGCTTTGGGATGAAAGCAAAAATCCAGGCAGTTTTTCTAACTGGTCTCCTGATTGTTCAGGGATTTTTCTTGTGCCGTATATTAAACAACTTGAGCACAGTATATATGTGTTTTGCTGATAAGAAGAGCAAAAACGAATTGCCAGACACTTTCCCAGACAAGACAGGAAAGCTCTATTTGAACAAAGTGGAAATTGGACTGCTTTACTGATGGTTCGCAGCATTGATGTTCAAAGCTTTCAGACCATGTAATAGTCTTAGGTTCAGGTACACAGAACTGAAAGGAGGAAGAAAGCAAGGCTGATTTGCGGGAGGATAGAAAGTTAAAATAAACATGAAAAGCCTTTATCTGAGAAAGCAAACTTACTGGTTAAGGTTTATCTAGTCACCTGTAAAGGGAAGGAAACACTGAATTAATTACAGCAGTTGAGGGATACTTATTCATAAGTACCATCACAAAGTGCTTTCCTATTTTTGGAGCTATGATTCACAGCTGCAAGTACCCACACTGAACTAATTCACTGAGGGGCAGCCAGCAATTTCTTATCGCCCATGGGTGAAAATGGAAACCCGAGTCTTCACCATTTCCTGGAAAACCACATGAAGCCAGAAAAAGTTGACTTCTTCTACATGGAGAATCACTGAGCCAATTGGTAGCCTTCATACCTCTATACAAAATCAAAGATGCTCAGCTTTGCAAATTACTCAACCATGAAAAAAAAAAAATTAACTACAGTAATTTGCCTTGTTGCCAACAAACCACTGAATGAATCATTGCCATAAAGCTATTACACTAATAAAACAATACCAGCAAAAAACTATCTGCTG